CAGATGTGTGTGTCCTGTGTGTGCCTCTGCAGGCATGTGTGTACGCGTGTGCAGACGTGTGTGTCCTGTGTGTGCCTCTGCAGGCATGTGTGTGCGCTTGTGCAGATGTGTGTGTCCTGTATGTGCCTCTGCAGGCGTGTGTGTGTGTGTGTGTTGTGTGTGTCTCAGCAGGCACGTGTGTGCACGTGTGCAGATGTATTTGTGCTGTGTGTGCCTCGGCAGGCACGTGTGTGCACGTGTGCAGATGTGTGTGTCCTGTGTGTGCCTCTGCAGGCATGTGTGTGCGCTTGTGCAGATGTGTGTGTGCCTCTGCAGGCATGTGTGTGCATGTATCCAGATGTGTGTGTCCTGTGTGTGCCTCTGCAGGCATGTGTGTGCGTGTGTGCAGATGTATGTGTTGTGTGTGCCTCTGCAAGCACGTGTGTGCATGTGTGCAGATGTGTATGTCCTGTGTGTGCCTCTGCAGGCATGTGTGTGTACTTGTGCAGATGTGTGTGTGCTATTTGTGGGTCTGCATGTGTCTTAGTCCTTTCCAGCACTTGTGCTTAAGCAAGTTCAGTGCAATGAAGAGGAAGAGCTGCCAGCTCCAAGGAGGCCACTCTGGACTGGAGAATACTGCTGAAATCCAAACTGTCTTCTCTGCTGGGTTAGCTCCCTGGCACCTAGCTGAGCAATGCGTTTAAATTATTCAGCAAGCCTCTTGGATCCCGTCTGTTGAACTGTGCTTCATTTTGTTTTGCTTTGAAGAGAGAAGCACTTGTTGCCTTCCAAGGCAATCAGGCACATCCTAGAATGTCTGATCTGCCTAGGATGGTCTGTATTCCAGACACCTGACTTACTATCACAAAGAAAAAGGGAAAGAAGGTGGACAAGGCCAGCGGCTGCTGTCAGCTGCACAACCCAAGGACCCCTCTCTCTCTCCAGCAGCCATGGACCACGCTTCCTTTTTTAAGGAGCTCAGAGGGGCAGGTGGAAGTTTGGAGACCTTTGCTAATAGCCAAGTTCAGGAAACTCAGGATGTTTGAGAAGGCACCATTGTTGAGGCAGGTTCAGCCCTCTCACATCCTCCAGGGCCTTGCTGGCTCACCGTTGGTTTCTTCTCAGGATCCCAGTTGGCTCTGTGAGCCCAGCTTCTCCAGATTTTGGTGGGAGGCAACTCTTTAAGATGCCTGGGCTGATGTCTCCTGCAGAGGGCTCTGAGTGACCTTCACTTTCCCTTCTCTTCTTTTCAGAAGAACAGGAGCTGCCTGTGGACATGGAAACCATCAACCTGGACCGAGATGCAGAGGTAATGCCCTTTGCTCAGCCCAGCCTCAGGGAGGTGGACCACCCTGGCCATCAGGTTCTCTTATGTGTAGGTGCCAGATTAGTAATGGCTTTCCCTGAAGGGGTCACCTAAACCACCTCTAGTTGGGTTGGGCCCTTGTGGTCTTCTGATTTCTAATAGAAGTTATTAGAACCCCATTTCTGTGTAACGGTTTGGCATTGTGTGGCAGACAAGGTGTCTTTGACTCAAACTGTGTCCCTCCAGTGACTGTCATACTCAGAGGCACTTGCAGAAGGACAGAGTCTTGTATTGTGTGACACCGGCCACCAGGCCTCTCTGATGCTGGTGGGAGGGTGTGTATTGGTGGACTTGGCACATGTTGCACTCATGGGAGCTAGAGGTGACAAAAAGGTGTCTTATGCCAGTCATTTTAAGTGTCAGTTTTACATAAAACTAAGACAAAAGAGCCCTTGGTGCTCGCCCTATCACCTGCCAGGCTGCCTCCAGTCACTTCTGTTTTAGGAAATGGGTCTTCAGGCACTTTGCTGTAGCTAAGCTAGGTTTCTTTGGTTTCAGGATGTTGATCTGAATCACTACCGCATTGGAAAAATCGAAGGCTTTGAGGTTCTGAAGAAAGTGAAGGTGAGAGGGCTGTTGGCCTGGCCTTGAGATGACTTGTCTCGCTCCCTGGGGTGTGAGTAAATCCAGAAGCGGGAAGCTAGTCCTAGGCTTGCCCTACCCTGTGAGGGCACTGGGCTGCCTCTGGATCTCATCTAGCATCTGTGTTTATCCTACATGTGTTGGGAGTGAGTTTGAGGGCCAGAGCTGGCCTCCCTGACCCAGCAGCCCAGGGCGAGGCCCCACTTCAGATTGAGCCTGCACCAAAGCACTCAGCATTTTTTTTTTTTTTGCCTTCACAGAATTAAAAGGCTAAATTTAATGACAATAATAATTTTTAACATAAGGACTGAGAACAAAAATCTCATAAAGAACGAAAGAAGATAAATACATTCAGAAAAGAAATCAGACGATTGCTGCAACAAAATACTAGGCAGTAATAATAGTAATAATGCAAAGAAAGTAACATTCACATTGTCAAATAGAAGTATGTCTGTTGGCTTGGCGCCTGTGGCTCAAGTGGCTAGGGCGCCAGCCACATACACCTAAGGTGG